CACGAAACTCCTGATGACCTCCCCCAATGGCCTCATATACATAGATATTAAACAGCATTGTAGAGATAATTGAACCCTGCAGGACTCCACAATTGAGAGTCCACGGAGCAGACAACATCTCCCCAAGCTGCACTCTCTGCGGGCAGTCCTCCAAGAAGGAGCAGAGCCAGGCCAAAGCCAAACTTCCAATCCCCAACCCAGAGAGCTTCCCCAGGAGGATACTGTGGTTGATGGTGTCAAAGGCTGCTGATAGGTCAAGGAGGACCAGCAAAGGCATTTTGTCCCTATTGGCCTCCCTCAGGAGGTTGTCTTGCAGGGTGACCAATGCTGTCTCCATGCCATGACATGGCCGGAACCCGGACTGGAATAGATCGAGAGCATCGGTCTCCTCCAGAATTGCCTGAAAACCAAGAATAGTTGTACCAAGCTGGATGCATGGTCCATGTGTGGAATCATAACATTTGTGTACATTAATGTAAACAATGAGAGTGGAAGAAAGAGACAAAAGAGGAAGAAAGTGGGGACAGAGTGCATTCTCCCAGAGTCTTATATGTTTTAGGAGGTACTGGAAGTACATATGCATAAAGTATGTATGAACAAGGGAACAGCTATCAGATTCCCAAGACACAGCAAATCCTTCTGTTTACAGGAGAAGAGAATGTCAGGGACCTAGAATAGATGATCTGTTCTAGTAAAGGAAGAATTATATTTATTTATATAAAGCCTTTGCCTACAGTGAAGGAAATGATAAAACCACACGTTCCAGGTTAATTCTGGTTGGGAAAGTACGCAGGCAGCCATTGTATCAAGGTGACAGATAACACCTGCCTGCCTGAGGCCACTGAAAGCTCAACCAACAGAAGGAAAGGAAAAATATTTTCTTTTAATGTCAGGGCCACACACACTAAATGTGTTTGTGCTGACAGGTGAACCACCTGCTCCACTTCCTTCAGGAAAAGCAAATTCAAGAGCTGCAACCCCAATTCCACTCCACTGGCAGAAGTGAGGAAAGATGGAGGCTACCCAGATGATAGAAACAACAATGGATTATTTCCAGTTTTTAGTGTAGGCATTTTTCAGATACACATTGTTTTTGAGCTCAGGTAAGGGTATCCTATGTGCATAGATGGCTGATGAGAGATATACCCCATAAAAGAAATTTGAGATGATGCCCTCTGCTCAGTCCATGAACTCCTCCTGCCTATCAGACACGGCTGGGTAAATAGTTGTGGGTTTTTGTTTTTTGTTTTTGTTTTGGGTTTTTTGGTCAAGGGTCATCTCAATGGGTAATCCATTGAGGGTCATGTGTTTGCAGCGGTTGGGGCAGAAGCCAGTAATGGGCAATGTCAAAGATGACCCAAATTCTCCTGCCTGATGTGGAGGACAAGACTGTATACAGAAGCAAACCGAGTTGACAGTTGATGAGAGGGCAGAAGAAGATTCCCCCACTTAATTAGAGATAGTGGGCTGATTTAGGGGGGGCCATTAGAAGGAAGCACCCAGAGATCTCAGGAGAAACAATCTAGAGCAGCTGCTCCCCACCTTTGGTCCCCATATGCTCTTGGACTGCAACTCCTAGAAATCCAGACCAGCAGAGCTAGTGGTGAATGCTTCTGGGGACCCAAGTTTGGGAGCCCCTGGTCTAGAGGCTGCCACCACTGCCCTTGGGCATGTGTTCCCCACAGCAATGCCTCGTTCTCTTTCTTTCCTTTTCTGTCCATCATGCTGTGGGAAGAGTAGCAGATTGCTCTTGGCAAGACTGGTCATTTGCAGAACGCTTTAGAAACTTGACCCTGGGCTGTAAGTTGCCCACACCTGCCCTGCCAGATGGAATGCACTGTCACATAAATGGAGCGTTATGGTCAAGACGTGTGAGCTCTACCCTGTGGCAGCTTGAGGAGGTCTGAACTGGCTCTGACCACAAAGGAAAGAGATCTCAACACTGTGCGGGAGGAGACCTCAGTGAAAATATCAGTTCAAGCCTGGTCTGAGGCAGCAATGAATACAGAATTCACGGTGGGGATTATTATCCCATGTGGTGCCAAAGGTAGGGTGGGAATATTTGTATAAATAAAATACAGTATTTGAAAAGAATTGAACAGAAAATTACCATGCTGCATTCACATTTGTGTAGCATTCTAGCCATTCCATCTTGAAATGGATGCCATTCAGTTGGGAATGGTGCAATAAAGGAAAACTAAAATGAACCAGAGTTAAGAGCACTTTTATACTTAGAAAGCAGTTGGCACTTCTAATATAGCAAAAGGATGGGACCCGTTATTACTTGTTTATAAAACTACACTTGATAGGGACCATGTTGAAACTTCTCATTCTCCCATAACAGAATTAGATACCAGAAGTGGCAGTTACTCTATAATACTAATTGGCAGTTCCATTGTTTCTGCATTGGTGGCTCCATTCCTTTACTTTTTTATGAGATTTATGACAGATTTTTAAAAAAAACCTAAGAAGCAAAGGTGAAGAGAAAAAAAATCTTCATGCCAGAGATAATAAATTATGGAACTACCACAAGTTGTGGTGATTACTATGGATTTAGGTGGTTAATTTATAATTCAGAATAGAATCTCTTAAGCACTAGGTAGGAATATTCAGATTGCGAAGCCAGATCCATCTTGTGGATTTTGAAAAGTCAGTATTGAAAGCACAATCCATGGAATAACTATAAATCAAAGTAATGTATTCTATTTCTGACATCAATGATATATTCCCCAAAGGTATGGACATTCTACCAGATGCTGCTGTCATCTCACTTGTAATTAATAATAACAATGACTTGTTTGCGTAATGCTGGCAGACTCTGGCATATGATTGTCTTTGTGGAATACTGGAAAGAAGCTGATCAAAAGAGAGGCAGATGTGGGGGTTGTTTCTGTCACGGTCACCTGAATCTGCTGAGAGATGCTAAATCAGGCAACAACCAAATTCACTCACAATCATTAATCTATTTATCATTCATTGACTTTGCTAGGTCAAAGTCCTGGTCCAAAACGTAATGAGATGTTACAGTGATGCTGTATCTTGGCCCCTCCTGCCCCCTCCAGAGTCAGGGGGTTCAGAGATGGAAGATGGCCATTGTACCACAGCCTGGTGTATAAAGAGGCAAACATTTGCTTAGTCTCTCTTATTCTTCTCCCCATCCCAAGGGCACACAGTGACTCATCCGTTATTTGCGGTGTGCAGCTTTCAACTGGACATCATTTTAGTATTTTCTTTCCCATCAAGAGCCTTTTGTACCGGAGACATCTGACGTTCTCTGAAACAAAAAGTCTCCCACTCCAACACCAACCCTCAAAAAACACTGCAGCTACTTAGCTTCTCCATTTCTATCTTCTCTGGCATGGGTAAGGATGTTTTGAGAGCAATTCATATGCCCAAGGAGGGTATGTGGTGCAGTCCTTTCAGGGGGCAATCAGTATCATCTCAGAATGCAAGTAGGAGATTCCTTTGAGAGATACGGTCCTGTGCTGCAGTCTTCCAAAAGGTGGAAAAGCAAACTTTCCACACCCAAAGAGAGAGGCCTTGACGTGGTGGGGTATCACATGCATTCCGAGGCAGCATTTATCTAAGACATGTTTGTACACTGCCCTTCTCAACCTTGAAAAAGGACAAATTAAGAGAACTAGCCTTCAAATTTCACTTTTGGCAGATCACAAAGACATGAAATCAGGGATGCCGAATCCTTCCCCGATATGGAGTTATGAGCCAATAAACCAATAGAAGGATAAACCAGGGTTTGTGCTGGACTGGCTGAGGTGTTTTTTTTGGTAGAAACTGGAACCACGCAGAGAGGTTCTGAAGACAGGCTTCTGGTATGCTGGTTAGACTTTAACTGCCAGTAATTTTAAGGGCTTTTCAGTACAAGCACAACCCAAATGAAATTTAGACCCTGGTCACACAAGGGAAATGTTCTCTAGTCCTTCCAGTGCTGTTGTACTGATTCTCAATCACATGGTACATATACTGGGGTGAATGTCCCAAGAACTTTTAGCAGTAATAATTTATTTCTTCCAATTTGAATCATTATGGCTGGCTATACCACATAGTACAAGTTTATTTTCTCTGCTTCAAGAGGCAATTCAGCCCATTAATTTATATATATCGATATACTGGGAAGGGGTTTGGGAGTATGTCCTCTGTTGTGCTGGCTGGTCTTGTAGAATTAAATTGGTACGTCTACTTCCCCCATCATCTCCTCTATCTTTCAGCCAAATCTGCTATTCCCCCACCCCCGCAACCCCCTGCAATTGTCTCCTCAAAATGCCAGGGGAAAAGTGGTGTGTCGAAATTCTGGTATTGCAGCAATAGCTCAAATTGCTCTGTGACATACTTTTACCAATGTATCAATGTACTGGCTGTGAAAAAAGAATAATAATAATAATTTGCATGCCGCAATAATAGCAGCCACCTTCCTGGCTTCGATTCTGAACGGAAGCAGGACAGTTCATGCACACAGACAATTTCGGTAAGGAAAGCATCGATACAACAGAGGTACAAAATAACACAGCAGTCCCAGGGAGTGGAAAATACTGTAAACTGCAGTTATAACTGTATTCGCGAAGACTTTCACGGCCGGGATCTAATGGTTGTTGTGGGTTTTTCGG